TATTATTTATTTGCCTCATTCAAGTTACCAAGGAGAACACAGAATCAGGTAGCATTGTTGTAGGGCTATGATAGGGATGCCATCTTTGAACCATCACAGTCAGGGCTAGAAGTTCGGGCAATTCATGGCATACTTGGAAGTTTGGTGGCTAGGGCCTCCCAGAAATCTCCCAGGGCTGAAGAGCTTTATTGTAGTGTTTTGGAGTGTATTAGTTTGTATAGTTTTCTTTTTCTTTTTCTTTTTTTTTTTTTTGTGCTTATTTGGAAGCGAACAACTGAATTTATTCTGCAGAAGATAAAGGAGACCTGAAGCATCACATCACCAGAACAACTGAAACATGTTGATAAGTCTTATCTTCTAAACTTCAATGAAAGCTGCTTGTACAATCTATTTAATGAATACCTGTCCCTATTAAACAAGCAAGATATCTGATGTATTAAAGAAGTCAGAAGTTATCACAGTCTACTGATATCAGTGTTTTACCAATCTAAGTACAGAAACTTTTCATTTAGGTTTTCTTGTCCTCTCTACTTTTAAATATCATTGTCTTGAGTATCAGATGGTGTTAGAATTTTTGTACCAATTGTCATATATAATTCAGAAAATTCATGAAGATGATAGTATATTGTATTTACCCATATTTCTGCATTTTCCATTGTTCTTTCTTCCTTCCTTAATGATGTAAGATTCCTTCCTTTATTATTTCTTTTGTAAAATGTTCTTTAGCCATTCTTTAAGAGTAAATCTGGCTAAGTGACAAAATCTTTTAGTTTTCCTTCATGTGGGAATTTTTTTATTTTCCCTTAATTCCCTAGGTATAGTTTCAACAGATACAGAATTTGCAGTTGACAATAATTTTCTTTCTTTTCTTTCTTGAAAAATGGTGTGCTACTTCTGGCCTCTGTTGTTTCAGATGAAAAATCTGTTGTCTTTTAAACTGGTATCCCTCTATAGGTAATGTCTTGTTTCTCTCTGGCTGCTTTCAAGATATTTTCTTTGTCTTTAGTTTTCAGAAATATAATTATGATGTGTCTGGGCATGGATTTCTTTGGATTTATCCTTTTTGGAATTCACTTAGCTGCCTGATCTGTGAATTTATATGTTTTGTTATATTTGGGAAATTTACAGTCATTATTTCTTTGAATACTCTTTCAGGCCCACTCTCTTTCTCCCCTTCTAGGACACCAGTTCTACTCTTTTGTTATGATCTTATAGGTTCCTGAGGCTCTGTTTGTTTGTTTTCAGTTTATTTTCTCTCTTTTGTTCAGATTGGGTTAATTCTATGGATCTGTCCTCAACTTCACTGATTCTATCCTGTCAGTTGCACTCTACTATTGAGTTCTTCAAGGTATTTTTATTATTTCTGTTATTTTTCAGTCCTATAATTTCTATTGGTTCTGTTTTGTAATTCCTATTTCTCTGCTGAAATTTTCTATTTTTTCACTTGTTTCAAAAGAATTTGTAATTGTTTGTTGAATTTTTCTTATGATAGTTACTTGTCAGATAATTCTAGTGTCTGGTTCATCTCAGTGTGAGACTCAAAGGATTATCTTTTGTCACTCAAGTTGCAATTTTCTTGCTTGTTGTTTTTTTGTATGATAAGTGATTTTAATTGTATCTGGGCATTTTGGCTATTAGGAGACTCTGGGTCCTACTTAAATTTTTTATTTTAACAGGTATTTACTCTGTTTAGATTTAGCATATTGGTTATAGCCTACTTTTGTGGGCTGTGGCTCCAATGACAGTCTAATTTTCAGAGACTTGATGGTACTGTGTTTGTCTTCTTTGTCTCCTTTTCTGAGGCCCCACTGGTACTTGTTGGTACTAGCTGAGAAAGTAAAAGGAGGTTCCCAGGTTGAGTGGCTTGGTGCCATTATGTGGAGGAAGGAAATCTCCAGGCTACAGAGACAAAAAAGCACTTTTTGGGCTGGGGGATTGTTGTGGAAGAATCCCACTTGCTAATCTCCCCTGTCAGGTAGAGTCTGGGTGGGAGAGAGGAGTCTCAGACTGGTGGGAAAGTTCCCTGGTAGGTTACTGTTAGGGGAACATTCAGTTGGTTCTCCTTGCTATTCTTCTGGGCTTGTCTAGAGTTGGTGGCAGGACTCTTGCTCAGTTCGGAGGAAGAATAAGGCTATCTGGCTGCCTTCTCTTGCTAGACTGGGCGTCAGGAAAGGCTGGGCCTGGGTTACATTCTCTTGGATGGAGAATCATAACATGCCCTTGCCACTGTGTTGTTCCCTTGGTCCTCTGGCCCCTAACTAATTCATCTTCCTCTTTCTACCTTTTAGCATTCTTCTTTAGTTGTCTCTCGTGTTATTTCCAAGGCTTTTAGTCATGCTTGACAGGAAGGGGCAGAGAGAAACAAGTCTACACCATTTTGCTCAGATCAGAAGGTCTCTATATAAGCTTATATAGGCCTAAAATCTCTCTGGAAGGTACACAAAAAATTGCCTTCCCTGAGGAGGAAAATTGGGGAATATGACGTAGGAGGGAAACTTTTTTTGTATATGTGTTTGCATGTTCTCATTTTAATCAGGTGAATATATTAGCTGTTCAAAAATAAAAATAAAATGTAAAAGAAGAAATCTAATTCAGCCTTGCTTTCAAGAGCACAACCAAGGATTACAACATTGGTCAAGTAGAGTATGGATTCAACAACTTGTAATTTTATTAAATTTCATTGACGTTTAATTTCACTATATTGTGACTGCTTTGATTCAGATCTCTGAATATAAGAATAATGTTCTCAGTGGATTTTCAGCCTGTTCATATATTTTGAATAACTTGCAGAATACAAATGTGTAATTTAGATAGAAGTAGATGCTTTTGGCAGCATACTAGCACCCTAATCAGCTGAAAAAAATGATATTTGTATGACATTAAAACAAAATTAATAGCAAGACACTGATTACATGAAAAGATTTTAGGTTGTAATTATTAAACTTGCAAACAACTCAGCATAATTAGTGCCTTAATTAGGATATGACCTGAAATTTTAGCTTACAAAATTAATTGAGGCAATTAAAAGTCACATTTGTAAAGTGGATTTTAAAGCTTACAAGGTAGTTAGATACCACTTTTTTTTCTCATTTTGGGAAGCATCTTTATAGGTAGAGTAAACTTGCAATGCAATTACTTTGATTCCAAACCCCCATTTCCAGCACAGTATCTAAGCCTGAAGCCTTAAGTGTCGAGTTTAGTAACTTTCAGCCAAGGGTACCTACACACAGAAGGTTGAGCAGCTCCCAGGCATATGCCTAAATAACTCTGGGGAGCAATGAAACAGCAAAGACTTTCTGTCCCCAGAACCTTAACTGAAATATAAATTAAAAGATTAATAGTGACTTTAGATCAAGCTCCTTGACCATTTTCACAGAACTATTTGGATCCAAATGACAAATTTCACCTCTGTCATTTATTCTTCACGTGCTTCTTGAAGGCATTTCAGATCCCATGCTTTACCACATCATGGTGAAGTTTCTAATCCAAAGCCAGTGAATTTCCCATCAGTAGATAGAAATGGAGAAGTCAATAAATGTTTGTAGGCTAGTGATTTGGGGAAAAATAAATCTAGAATCTTACCTTCATTTCTTACATCAAAATAAACTCCAAATGGATCAAAGATTTAATATGAAAATAAGTTATAAATGTACTGGAAGAAGATATGGGTTAATATTTTTATAATATTGTAATCAAGAGTAGCTTTTTAAACATGACAGATAAAACAAAATCCATAAAGGAAATTACTAACAAATTTGTCTTCTTAATTCTAAACTGCCATATGTCAAAATATATATATATACTCTAAGTTTTAAAACGTAATTCAAGGTCAAATCAAGAAGTAAACAACTAAAATCTGAAAGTTTCATTTATATTTTGATTTAATTTTTCCTCTAAAGGCACAGCTTTATGCCTCAATAAGAAAATGAGGGGCGCTTGGGGGGCTTAGTTGGTTGAGTGTCCAATTTTTGATTTTGACTCAGGTCATGATCTCAGGGTTGTGAGCAGCCCTGTGTGGGCTCTGCCATCAGCAGGGAGTCTGCTTGGGATTCTCACTCTCCCTCTCCCTCAGCTCCTCCTCCCCCTCCCTGCTCGCACGCTCTAAATAAATAAATAAATAAACAAATGAATAATCTTTAAAAAGAAAATAATGAAATACTTGAAAATATGCATCATGATTTGTGTACAGGAATATTAAGTATAGGGGGAAATTAAAAGAACTTAAACTTTAAATTGCTCATAAAGTGATTATATTACAGAATGGATATAAGCTGCATCATTAAAAAATCAATATTTAATAATACCAAGATATTTTCATGATAGAACCTTGTTAAAAAGATAGAGGGTATCGGCAGATCCAATTTGATTTTAAAATGTCTTATCTAGACAGAAAAAAAGACTAAAAGGAAACAAATGCTGGAGATAAAATTATGGATAAATGTTATTTCTTCATTTTGAGCAGTTTCAAATTTTCTACAATAAGTAAGTTATTTTCTGCTCAATATTTTTTTAACTGCTTGGAGCTCTAAAGAAAAATGTATTTGAGTTTTTCCCAAAAATAGCTAACTTGGAACTAGATCAGATATAAAAAATCAAAATTGAAGACTTGAAAAGCATAGCATATAATATAGCAATTGTGAGAGCCCCTCCCTCCTTTTTTAAAATCCCTCTACCAGATTCCATGATGCTATATCATTTAAGTTAAATTAAAACTCCTCGTCATTCTCAGCAATCTGTGTCTTTCTTTCTCTGACATTGCAGGCCTAGAACACAGGCTTCCTTTTCCTAAGGCCCAAAATCATGAGAGCATTCTTTTAGAAAGTCAGTGTCATACTTGTTTATTCCTAACTGCCTATGTTGTGGAACAGGGAACATGAAGTTCAAAACTCTAATTACTTGGTCTTGGCAAGAAGCTTATGTCTTTAATTGGGGGCACTTGCCTATCACAAAATAACTATCACTAGTAGCACAACAATGTCATCATTGAACTTTCTCTGTACCTGTAGGTTTTCTTAATTTCTTCATTTGATGCTCCCTTATGCAGACCAAGAATTTCATATAGAGCTTCTCCAGATGTAGACAAAGTCCGCTGTCTTTGGTTAGGTATGTTACATGCCATTTTCTCAGACTGCAAAAGCAAAGAGGGGAAATAGCTATGAAGGTTATGCATACTGGGTCCCACTCTCTGAAGAGAAAGATAGTTTATCTTTAACCTTTTGTAAATGACAATCTGAAGTACATTTTTATGTCAGCCACAAAAGGAGAGGGGAAAGGGTTTAGGAGAGCCAAAAGTAGAGTTTCTTGTCAGGGTGTTAAAGGCTACAGGCAGTAATGTAAATGGAATATGGCTTTGTCCACATGGTTAAATAGAAGTGAAATGTTAAATAAATACCCAGCTAATTCAGAATTGTTGAAAATGACTCCTCACAGGTCAGCATATGTAGATTCTTTTTTGCCAGAATTTGAACAGCTCCTTTTATATATATTTTCCAAATTTAGCTAGCACTGGAAATAATCTTCCATTTTACTTTGATTCTATTGGTTTTAGGATGGCTTAGGATGTCTTTAGAGAGACACTCATGTTCAACACAGGGAATCCCTGGTGACAACGGTGGCAGCAGCTGAACTGGATGGGCACATCCCAGTGGTGGATGGGGCCGAATGGAGCTGATCTCCCAACTCTGTTCTCACCAGGCTAATAACCAAACCAACATAAGCAAGAGCAGAGCCCCCAGATGTCGACTGGTGGGTCAGGATGGCCTTAGAAGTCCCTGAGGACCCAGTGTGGTACTGTGTTTGTGGTCCTAAGGAATTCAATAAACAGCAACAATATGAGGAATTCCAAAGTATTTTTGTGCGCCTTTATCTTCTTGGGGGAAAAAAAGCAAAGCTTTGAAGAGTACTGAAAAAAGTCAGACCCAGGCAAAAATCTTGCCTAAAGATGCCAAGGACAAGGGCTTATTTTATGGCATGGCTTCACTGTCCCTCCCTCAATCAGCCTCCTGTGAAAGTAGTGTCCCTGGAGGCCAGAAGGACCCCAGTCCCAAATTCCTGATTCACACAAGGATAAGAAGAGAAGGAATCTGATTTTGCCTGCCACAAAACAAACTCTAATGTGCATGGCTCTAATAGCAGCCATTCAGTAAATTGTGGCACTTAACACTCATTACTGCTCTAACTTACCTTTCTTGCCTACCCATCACAACTCCCCTAGGGAGTAAGCAATTCAGGGCCTGGGGTATGCCATTCATCTATGTGTTCCAGTCCTACAGGTGAGCCCCATCTTGAAACCACAGCCCAGCTGATTATTCACAATTGAAGGAAGACGTGCCTGAAAAACTGACACTCTCCCTACTTCCTTCCCTGTCCCCTCTGTCCTACTGCCACCACACACACAAGTGTTCAAGATACTGATGCCCTGCACCATACATCCACCTATGGTTCCCAGGAATGGAGGCAACCAGCCAGTTTCTCACAAGTCATACTAAATGCCACAAATGAGTGGAGTTTGGAAGATAGGGATTTCTGTGTGGCTTTGTGGACAAGGAATAGGGCCACAGTCTCTCTGAGATTTTAAGATGTTACTGGTTAGCAAGATCCCGAGTCACAAACTAAGAATATATCAACATAATGATTCAAATTTTAGGACTGTAAGATATGGAGTTAGGTGTTGTATAAGCCAGCTTAACAAATGCCTTTTGGGAAATTTGGGCCATAGATCCTTGTAGCAGACAACTTTACTATTAGCCTATTAGCTCTCCTTTTTCTGGGGAATGCTCAGGTTCCTGTTGCAACATATGCCTTTCCTGTCAGCTGCCTCAGTCTTACTTGATCTCAGTTGAGGAGAGCAAGAGTAGGTACCAAGGCAGACCAATAAGAGTCCTTCCCTAGCATTTTTTTATATACAGAACAATCCTACAGATGGTAAAACCAGTAAAATGTAAAATTTAGGTATTATTGGCTGGCCTGAAATGAGAGAGTTTGAAACTGATCCATAGAAGAGGAGCTGTGGCTGAAAGATGGGAGAGAGACCCAGTAGAGTTCAGTCTCCTGGTTCCAGTTTTTTCAGAGGTGCACTTGCAACTCTTCCCCTCCCACAGCTTGTCAATCAACTTTTCCTTGGATTTAGCCAATAAAATTCCTCCCCATACACAAATTTACACCAGTTTTTTTTCTTTTGAACATATTTTAGCTAGGTTTTGGTCTTTGTTAACCAGAACTCCTAAGTGTCATGTACTCTTTCAATTAAAGACCACCAGTGGTTCCCCAAGCACTTCCAAGCCAGGCTAATCTTACATTATTGCATCTACTTATCCTTAAGTTGAGTGTAGCTTCCTGGTACTTGGAAATGACTACTTTGGGGAAATAACAATGATATACTAAGATATTCAAACAAATTCATTCAGGTGTATTGTGTAGACATGACTAGTACAGATAAAAGGAGCAGCGATAAATCTGGGTTAAGGCACTTTCATAACGAAAGTTCATGGAGAGTTATTCAGGAGAACTAAGAAGAAATGGAAGTATGGCAAATAGTTATCTTTGCTTTATCTATTTATCTCTATATTCAGCATTCCAAAGAAACAGTTTCAATTTGAGGGGAAAAAATATATTCACTCTTCATCTATTTCTTGAAGTAAGAGATATCATGGCTCCCATAAATCAACAGATGTCCTAAAATCAATTTTAACAAGTCTCAGACATGCACAGTTTCCACAGTTTTGAGCATCATGCTCCATGACCAGCTTTGATTCCTTCCTACTCGGATCTTGCTATCACTAATCCAGGAAAAGGATTTACACGTTACTGAAGATAATCTGCTAAACAGATTATGGTAATACCCACAGCAGAAAATTCAGTTATTCATTCAAAGCCTGCATTGCAGGCTTTTATGAGATACAAAACTATAAGCCAATAATGAAACTAGTGTTTAGAGGTTAAACACATACTGAGGATAGAGCAAGAAGGAATTTTCTGGAGGGCAGGGATTCTGTTTTGTGCCACCAGAAGCCCAACATTGTGCCTAGGATGTGTTAGGTGTATGATAAATGTCTGTTGGGTAATTAAATCAAAACTGAGTGGTTAACTTGAATGGGTATGTTAGGGAGAACTTCACAGAAAAGATGAAATCTGGACTGATAATACAACCACTTATTTCTGTAGAACTTGGCACATATTTCTATTACAGCCCTTGTATCTAAACCTAACCTTGGATCTGCATAGATGTGGTAGCCAGTGACTCTCTTGATCATTTATTTGCATAAATCAAAAGAAAAGAAGACTTTGAGCCTGGGGGCTGAAAGAAGAGGGAGGACATTCTCACATTGTGACTGGAAATTTTTTTTCCCAAGGTGCCCCCTTCAAAGTTATCCAGGTATAGAACAAGAAAGATGGGGTCAGTTGGGGGGCTACCCTCAATCCTTTCCACAGAATAGTCATGGAAACTGCCTAGGACTTATCTTTCCCTACCCCCTGGCCATACCTCTACACATTCCTCTTCCCGATGGAAAAAAGGAAGGCAGATTCCATCTCTCAAATAGTTTCAGACATAGAAACTCACACCCAGGAAAACATGGTAGGTAGCTTGCTATTACTTTGGTTTATGTATTTTTTCAAATCATCTCTTTTAGAAATCCAATCACACTGTAATCCATTCCTGCTGAATAAAATCCAGTAGCTGACTTGCTTTATGGTGTGGATTGAACAATATGCAGAGTAAGTTGTTACAAAGAATTTGGAAATTACTGTTTCACCTTCTTTTCTCTATTCCCAAAAGATTTCCTTTCAAACAGATAAAGTCTGTTAAAGACAAAAAAAAAAAAAAAAAGCCCTTTTATATCACCATTGGAACACAAGATAAAGATAGTTGGTCAATAGTTGGTCAGTGTGGTTAGTTGTTGGCTGATTCTACAGACTGAAACATAAAGGGACCAGAAAACTGTAGAATTGCTCTCTATACATCAAACACCAACAATGTGCTTCCTTTTCTGTCCTCCTTACTGATAAAAGAAACCTGACTCTTCATACATTATTGATGTAGATGACATTTAGTTTCAAATTCAATGGTGTAATACATTGAAATTTTTAGTCATTTTAGTATATAAAAATAGATATGTGCCCTGAGAACATACTAATTACAGAGTAATAGTCAAAATGCCTTCTAAAAACTCTCCTTAAATAACCTTAAACTAAATACTAAATAATGGAGCCATACTCTTTTTTAATTCCTTATATAAAATATAATCTTTATGAATTCTTTTTCTGTAGCCTTTTGAATTCTAATATTCCTATGTAAAATTCAAGTCTTTATTATTTATTCATAGTCCCTCATCTATAAGCCATCCAATGGAGAAAAAAAATGTTGTCATGCAAAATTATTAGTAATTTAATTTTGATCATCCAGTATAGGATACTTAATCTTCTGAACATAAATTACTTTTTGGTACATTACAATGTCATTAATATCATTTCTTAAAGCACTGACAACTATACAGTCACTACTAAAACATCTATAGCTCACCTGTCTTTTGGTAACAGATATAAGTGAAAGAAGTTTCAGCAGCCCGATGATGATGGACATCCAATTCAAAATAAACACTTATTTAAAGATTCTAATTCCAGAAGTCTTACAAATACTTAAATTTTTCATCTTGACATAAAATGTTCCTTTCAAAGCAAAAAAAAAAAAAGACTACCTATTTCTATTATGTGAATTCTCAAAAATGAAAAAAATCAAACTATACCGTTCTTGTAAGGTTTTCTTCAAGACTCAGAAAATGAATGTGGGCGAGGGAAATTAGATCATTAAACACAGCAAAAACACTTGCAATGGCTGTCATTGGGGAAACCAACATGCTTTACCATTTTATTGCTTCTGTGATTCCTCCACTGAAATCTATTTAGTGAAGCAAAATTTCCTTATCCAAATAACATTGTATCTTAAAGCTAAGCACACATCCAAAAGCTAATCCTATGTTTAAAAGTAATAATTCTCCCTAGCATAATTACTCATTACTTTGGCACTTATATAAATAGCAACTTGAAGATGGGAAAACTTGTAAATGTTACAAATAACCCACAGTACCTGTTCCTATAACTCCAATTCAGTGTTCTCAAAACAGGAGCAATTTGCTGTTTTTAACTGGTCTAGAAATAAATGTGCAAAGAAATAAAGGAAGGCAACAATGAAAGGAGCAATTCCGTACCTGTTCCACTGTTTCAAAGCAAAAGGCTACTCCTTTCCATTGTTCTGATCCAGGGTAAGCAGGTCAGTGGAGTCAGATTACTTTTCATTTGTTACTCTATCAGCCAATTCGTTATCCCTCTGGAAAACATAACAAAGAGAGAATAAAACATGCATGACAGTAAAGGTTGCCATTACAAGGCACCAGGTGATACCAAAATATATGCTACATTTACTGTTGATCATTAGTCAACTGGTGCTTGGATCAACCAAATGCTACTATGGAACTGCCTCCAGGTTTCCATCAGAACTGCCAATTAAGAGAATATGCAGAAATAAAGTGTTGATGAGGATGTAGAAAGAAGGGAACCCATGTGCACTGTTGGTGGGAATGTAAATTGATACAGTCACTATGGAAAACAATACAGTTTCCTCAAAAAATTAAAACTAGAAGTACTATACAATCTAGTTATTCTACTTCTGGGTATTTACTCAAAGAAAATGAAAACACTAATTCAAAAAGATGCACCCCATGTTTACTGCAGCATTATTTACAATAACCAAGATATGGAAGCAACTTAAGTGTTCATCAGTAGATGAATGGATAAGGAAGATATGAATGGAATATTACTCAGCCATAAAAAAGTAATGAAATCTTGCCATTCATGACAACATAGATGGACCTAAAGGGTATTATGTTAAGTGAAATAAGTCAGAGAAAGACAAATACCATATGATTTCACTTATATGTGGAATCTAAAAAACAAAACTAAAACAGACTTATAAATACAAAGAACAAACTGATGGTTGCCAAAGGGGTGGGGAGTTCAGTGAAATAGGTAAAGGGGATTAAAGGGTACAAACTTCCAATTGTAAAATAAGTCACAGGATGAAAATTATAGCATAGGAAATATAGTCAATAATATTGTAATGACATCTATGGTGACAGATGATAACTACACTTACCATGATGACCATTTCATAATGTATATAATTGTTAATTCGTTATGTTGTACATCTGAAACTAATATAACGTATGACAATGATACTTGAACAATTAAAAAAACACTGGAAAGACCATGTAACATTAATAAGGAGGAGACTTTAATTGCTCATTACATTAATCATTAATTAATTAATCATTAATTAATTTTCATATCTGAACATTTTACTTGAATCTTGGTCAAGAGGCACTGAGTCATGGTAGTAAATGCAGTGGTTTTAAGAATGAAGGAACCTCTGGTTAAAACAATGTCCTAGGATGCCTGGGTGGCTCAGTTGGTTAAGCGATTGCCTTCAGCTCAGGTCATGATCCTGGAGCCCTGGGATCAAGTCCCACATTGGGTTCCCGGCTTGGCGGGGAGTCTGCTTCTCCCTCGACCCTCCCCTCTCTCATGTGCTCTCTCTCTCTCTCTCAAATAAATAAAATCTTTAAAAAAAAAATGTCCTAACTTTCATATGCAACAAAAAGTCACATGAAAGGACAATTCTTATGATTTTGAGTAAGATAACTGAAAAAATCTTAAATCCAATGAGATAGGTGTTACTCTGAATTTGGCACAATGGCGTCTGGTTCCTGAGACTGAAGGCAGAATTTAGGGTGTGCTGCTTAGCACAACGGGTAGCAAGCTAGGGTTATTTTGTGTGAGCCTCTCAGAGCAATCTTGTCTCTAGATAGCATTGGGGTTTTTTTTAGATGCAAAGGAATACAAAGCTATTTCCCACAGATCCTGATTTCTAGCCAGAGTTTAGGAAGCAGCCTAACATCATGCAGAGAAGTGGGTGGGGGAGGGGAGCTAAAGACATTTAGAATGAAAATAATATTAGCTTAAGGGCAACATCCTTTGATGAAATGAAAATAGTTGCTATAATAATATGAAATTATGGGTGACTGTTTTTAAAAATTACAGCTTCTGTTTCAAATTCAGTTTAATATTTTTAGTAAAATTCCTTATTTTTATATAATGAACCACTTCTTAAATCTTCGTAATCATTACTTTTTAATCTTTTAATGTATTGCATAAGTCATGAGTTCGAAAATTGTTTAAGTATTTCAAAACTCCTATGTGGAAGTAGAACTGTAATTGTGTTTCAAAGAGAAAGCACAGTTTCTTATTCAGTCAGTCAGCAATTAGTCACCTACTAGGTCCAGGCACTGGGCTAAATGCTAGAAATATACTGGTAAACAAAATCAAATGTAAACTCTGGGTTTGTGGTCACAGAGTTGCAACCTACCAAGAAAGGCAGGTATTAATCAAACGATCACTCAAATAAGTATATAAATGAGACTTTGGAGAGATGTTACAAGACCATGTATATCAGTGTAACAGAGCTCAGGCAAAGCTTTCCTGAACAAAAATAACCAAGCAGACATCTGAAAAGAACTAGATGAAGGGTTGCTAGTAGAAGCAAAATGTATTCTAAGCAGTTAGAATATTTTCCATTGAACATACCTGTCCTGGGGGGCTTAAATTGGAGAAATAAAAGAAATATGCAGATGTGTGCTCTCATACATAGGATATCAGCACATGCCTATGCATATATGGCTTCTGATATATCATCTAAAGATATAGCCAGAGATTAATGGGATCACATTCCACTTAACCAGGTGAGACTTTCTAGAAGCAGTGAATTTCAAGTGATGTTTGTAAAAGGAAATAAGTCATGGCAAGCACACAATTCCTCAATGCACAATGCACTAAGTGTATTGTAAAAGCATTGCCAATTGGATCCAGCAAATGCACTACTGGGTATTTACCACAAAGATACAAATGTAGGGATCCGAAGGGGTACGTGCACCCCAATGTTTATAGCAGCAATGTCCACAATAGCCAAACTGTGGAAAGAGCCAAGATGTCCATTGACAGATGAATGGATAAAGAAGATGTGGTATATATACACAATTGAATATTATGCAGCCATCAAAAGGAATGGGATCTTTCCATTTGGAACGATGTGGATGGAACTGGAGGGTGTTATGCTGAGTGAAATAAGTCAATCAGAGAAAGACATGTATCATATGACCTCACTGATATGAGGAATTCTTAATCTCAGGAAACAAACTGAGTGTTGCTGAGTGGTGGGGGGTGGGAGGGATGGGGTGGCTGGGTGATAGACATTGGGTAGGGTATGTGCTATGGTGAGCGCTGTGAATTGTGCAAGACTGTTGAATCACAGATCTGTACTTCTGAAACAAATAATGCAAGATATGTTAAGAAAAAAGAAAAAGAAGAAGATAGCAAGAGAGGAAGAATGAAGGGGAGTAAGTCGGAGAGGGAGACGAACCATGAGAGACTATGGACTCTGAAAAACAAACTGAGGGTTCTAGAGGGGAGGAGGGTAGGGGGATGGGTTAACCTGGTGATGGGTATTAAGGAGGGCACGTTCTGTGTGGAGCACTGGGTGTTATGCACAAACAATGAATCATGGAACACTACATCAAGAACTAATGATGTAATGTATGGTGATTAACATAACAATAAAAAGTTAAAAAAAAAAAGCATTGCCAATTGAATCATTCAAGTTTAAAGAGGAGAGCTTAGAAGATATTCCAAGATTGAACAAAAGTGGCCTCTCTGGGAGGTAGAAAATTGGAGAGAGAATCGTATGTGGTGAGGAGGGAGTAGTTTACATGCCAGTTTTCCCTGTGTTTTCTATTTATGAAGTCTTCACCATTCCCTTAGGTGCTCCTAGAGATCTTTTATGTACCTGTCTCTATTACTGCATAGGGTTAGGGTTATTATAAGAAATGACTAGTACATCAGCACAGAATCTGTAGCAGGTACCAGATGAATTTGGATATTCAACCAAAATAATCTATCAGTCATGAAAATTAGACTAAACAGTCTCATTTAAATTTCATATCTTGGCAAGTGCAGCTATCATTCATTTTTGAACATGCAATGTGCAAGGACATATAGCACCAACAAATCCTATTCAGTATTATCAGTATCGTTTTACTATTTTTATTACCTCTCTACATTGTGTTATTATTACAATGTTTGGAATTCAGGCTACCATTCTGTAAATTTCAATGGGAAGAGTCTTTTGGGCAAGCTCCATTCTGGAAAAAGACAGGTGATGGCTTGATTGTGTAAAATGAAGAGGCCATTGGCTACCACACCAGTGGTATCTCAGACATAACCACAGAACAATCCTGGCATTTCTTTTGTAAAATCAAGTGTTTATATATGTTTTAGAAGAACAAATTGTTTAATTCCTATCATGTTTCATAATTTTCCAAAGTTAAAAAATGTCCCTTTTAAAGAGAAGTTACAAAGGGGATGGCATTTTAATGTGCTAAATCTATATATATGTAGAACATAGAATCATAGAAGGCTGAAGAGGAAGAACTAAATGGGAACTCTTTCTAGAATTGCTTAGAAAGATTTTAAGAATTCTGATGCCTAGGCCCTACCAGATTATCCCAAAGCAAAATCTCTGAGTTATCCTGAAGTAAAATCTCAGAGTGGGGCTAAGCTCAGGCATTTTTAGGGCTCTAGGTGGTTCTAAATAGCTGCCCAGGTTGAGAGCCACTGTTCATAACTTCACTTATTCACCAGATCTTACGGACAGAGACTCCTCAGTTAAGTAACATAGAAACAGTCTGCCAACCAAGCAGCTCTGTGGAGGAATTTTTTGTTGCCTGGGTTTCCTAAGAAAACATTTACTAAAGATAACTGTATCTGTGTTATTAAACACAAAACAGAATTTGACTTTGCATAATTTAACTTAAGAAAGACTATCCAAAAACAACATTCCTGTTTCTTAGACTTTGGGCAAGTCACTATAAGCCTGTCTTCTCTGTAAAACAGTAATGAAATATAAACCTTTCTATTTCTCAGACCTTTTATCAAAGTCCAGTACAATGTGGGCAAGATTATGCCGGGAACTTTTATAAACATAGATCTAATGATTGTCTTCTAGGGTTGGGGTTTGGGCAATTGTTAAGAAGTTACTCTCTTCCTGCCCCCTAAAATAAGAACAGAATACACTGGAAGTGCTTTAAGAATTTGAATGGGCAATCCTGGTAGATTTCATCTGAAATCTATAATTCATCAGTAGGTAGAGTCAGTTGTACAACAAAGGGAAATTGCTCCCCTGTTGTCACACAGTGCAGAGCACTATAGTGGAGGTTGTGA